CTGCAGGTTGATGTTTTTCTTTGTGAACAACCCCTACTTCCAGAACAAAGTGATCATTAAGGAGTATCACCTCAGCATTGCCGGTAAGCGTGGGCTTGAGATTTGAGGATGCTGGGGTCGGGGAGGGGGGCTCTTGGGAGCAGAAGGGGAGGTATGCGGGTGGCCCCCAGTTGGGGGCAGGGCCGGGGCCCTGCCCCAGAGGGAGAGAGGCTGGGAGGTTGAGAGGGACAGAGGGCGAGAGGGCGTGGGTCCTAGGCTGTGGAGAGCCTCTCCTAAATTTTCCATTCCTGCAGGATATAGGGCGTCTCGTTCCACTCCAGTGCAGTGGTTCTGGGACTATGAACGTGGAGCTGCCAGGCGCAGGCACGACACCACCGGCCTTAACTTCTTCAACTGGTTGTGTGACCCCTGCTCCCCAGGGTCTCACAGGATCGCCGAGGTGGGGCCCCTGCAGCCTTCGTCAGCCGGGGTGATGCCCGAGCCCCAGGAGCTTGGGAACGGGGCCCGGGCCCCGTGCTCAGCTGGTCTTTTTCCCCACCAGGTCATCATCGAGGACCTGTGGCCCAATCCCCTGCAGTACTACCCGAGGCAGGAAGGCAGCCAAAGGGAATGAACTGAGAGGAGGGCCTGTCGGTGAGGAGCCAGGGCGCTGGGTCCTGACATGTGTGTGTGGCAGGTGCCGGGAAACAGGCAGGTTGGCAGTGGGGAAACTGAGGCTCAGGGGAGCCTGGGCCACAGCTCGCCCAGGGAGCGGGAGGCAGGGTGAGAAGTGAACCTGGGGGAACTCAGGGCACACATCCTGGTGGGTGCGTCCATGTGGCACGTTCATGCCCCCCAGGCTGGCAGCTGGAATGTCCCAGGTCACTCCGGAGAAGCGAGACTTCTCCACCCCATTTCTCTGAACTCTCATCCGTGCCCGTCGACCCCCTCTCAGGCATGCTGCCGCTCGTTCAGTTGGGGATGTCCTGACAGTCTTTGGGAGTGGGGCTCCCTTGTTCCATTCCCGCTCCCGGGCACAGAATCCCCGACTTCCCTCTGTGTTCCCGACCACCGCGTGGCCTCCCACAGCCACGCAGCCATTCTTGAGAATGGCACTGGGCCTTGAGCAGCAGGCTCGTGAGGCTCTAGCTGAGGTGGAAGAGGGATCCCACAAGGACAGAGGACACCCTCAACACCGCCTTGGCTATCCTTGGTATTATGCAATTTCATGAATCCCTAACGTGTGTGTGTGTGTGCATGTGTGTGTTTGTGTGTTTCGGGGGCTTGGCAGCTGTGTGGACGTGTACAGCGCAGAGCATCAGAATCTGACCAACAAGAAGTAGTTGAGGAGGCATCCACCGCTGTGAGAGATGGGTGGACGAATCTACGTGGTGCTCTGCCTGCATAGGACACAACTGTGGGAAGGCTCACCAGTGGCAGCTCTGGAGAGTATCCAGCACCTATCTAGGGACGGCGAGAGAGACATAAACAAGTTATGAAGCTCTTTGCGTCTGTGTGTTTGTTTGTACGTGGAGCCGGGATATGGCGAGGAGGCAGTCAGCCTAGTGGGACCCTCCATGCCATGGCCTGTGGGATTCCTTGTGTGGCGGTGATGTTCAGCATGGGGACAGGGCAGTGGAGGTCAGGGCTAGGCATGTGGACAGACAGAGCGCTGCCCATCCTAGGCAGGGTCTAGGAGGAGCACGGACAATGGCAGAGGTCTCTTCATGGGAGCCTTGTCCTTTAGGGTAGGGCACACAGGCGGGGAAGGGTCCTGGCGAGCGGGACCCTCGTGGCCCCATGGCGCCGGGTACCGCCGCATTGACAGCGCTTGGGGAGCTTGGCCCAGTAGCCTTGCTCCTGGAAGCGTGCCCCAGACTGCTATGATCGGTTCCCATGCATTCATCCGGTCAGGAGCACTACAAAACCCACGTGTCCCGAGAGGAGGAGAAGGAGGCCATTCCTTGTGCTCCCTGTGGACCTACGCCCTCCTGCGCCGCACCACCTGCCCACAGGGGACAGTTCCAAGCACGTGTGAGCGAAGGCAGTTGTGAGTGGTGGGCCCTGTGGCTTTGTGAGTGGGCTGTGTGTGACGGAGTTAGATGCCCAGGCACACGTTCGGGTGTGTGTCCGCGCATGTGCATGCGTGTAAGTGTGCTTGTGCATGCAGCCACCTGAGCATGCCTCTTTCCCAGGGATCATGTGTGTCTGTGCGGTGTGTGTGAGTTTGCATGCGCACATGAGTGTGTGGCAAGAGTGCATGCCTGTGAACCGGAGACCCTGTGTCTTGGTGTGTGTTTCGAGAGTGTGGGATTGCAGGGGCGCGTGTGTGTTTGCGAGACCACGTGTGTGTTTCGGTGTGTAGGGACCCTGGGTGTTTTTGTGCTGCATTTGCATGTTTGCATGCCCACGTATGTGTTGATGTGTGTGTCCAAGTGTGCATGCTTGTGTGCCAGAGAACTTGTGAGTTGGTGGGTGTTGCCTGAGTGTGTGCACACAGATGGGTTTTGTGTGTGTGTGTGTGTGTGCGTGGGTGTGGGCCCAAATGCATAAGCCTGTGTGCGGGCACCGTGTGTGTTTATATTTCATGGGAATGTGTGTTTGCATGCGTCACATGTGTATATGTGTGTGGCCACGTGTGCGTTTCTGTTTGTTGGTGACATTGTGTACTTCCAAGTGTTGTGCGTGTGTGTGTGTGTCTTTCATGTACACCTCTGTGTGTGTTCGTGGCAAGTGTGCATGCCTGTGTACTGGAGATCAAATATTTTGGGTGTGTGTTTCCTGAGTCTGTCTTTGGCCATGCGCGGGGTGGTGTGTGTTTGGGCGGCCAATGTGCATGCCTGTGTGCGGGGACGGTGTGTGTGTTGCGTAGTGTGTGTGCTTCCCAGTGCACGTGAACGTGTGTGTGCGTGTGAGCAGCAACTGGCCTGGCTGTCTGTGCTATTCCATTGCTGTACTGCGTGTGTGTGTGTTTTCAGGCACACCTGAGTGTGTGAATTCCTTTGGGTACGTATGTATGGAATGGTTCCAGAGACCTTCCGTGCGAGTGCTGAATGCATGTGTGATTGCATGTGCAAGGGTGTCTGTTGTGTGTCTCTGTGTTTGCAGGCCTTGGGGTGATTGTGTGTGTTTGGGAGTGTGTGTGTGCACACGCGCGTGTGTGAGAGAGAGACAGCGGTGCCTGTCTGCATGGGTTTGTGTCTGTGTGCGTGCATGCGGCCATCTTCATTCCCATGTGTCGAGCCCGGGTGGGGGTGTGTGTGTCGTGTG